CACCCCGTGAAGCGCAGTAAAAAGATCTTGTTGATGGCTAAACACCCCTCACCCATTGTTTCCACCTGGAAGTGATGTGGAACAAATGCCTCTTGATGTCTTCTAATACTTCGGAAGCATTCTTCTGGTTCAGCAAACTGACCTTTGCAGATGACAGCTGAGCCATCTGTACAGTCCTCCCTGGGAACAAGGGAGGGACTCAGACACTTAGACTTTATACCACTTTGCACATTACAAATAACATTTTTATCCTCTGCCTTGTCTGCCTGTGGCACCCTCGGTCAGTTCACACAGCATTTATTGATCAACTCTGTAAATGCTGTGCTGTAGTCTTTAATAGTCCTGGTGGGGCGGGATAAGAAGTCATTACCTCCCATCCTAAGAGGGCTCTGTGGTTAGGTAACTGACTTGGTGGATGCTCCAGAATCACTGGCTGGAGTGAGAGCTTTGCGTCTTGCACTTAAGGCATAAGCAGGTGGTGGCACAGTGCGCATGTATTTAATGTGTGGCCCAATGAAATTCTTCATCCGCTATGATCAAGACTGAGTCAGAGGATAAGTTTACAAATCCAACCTTCTGACCAAAGCCAATGCCTCACTTCTGCCAAATGTCTTTTACTTGGTCCCTGAAAAAAAAAATTACTCTTTGTGGCCAGGAAGATGGTTCATCTTGTAAGGGTGTTTATTTCAAGCCTGAAGATATGAGTTTGACTCTCAAGACCCACATAACAGAAGGAAAACCTGATTCCTGAAAGTTGTCCTCGTGCACACACACACAGACACACACACTCGTTTTTTTTTCATTTAAAGAACTCTTTTGGAAAACATAAATCCTAAACTCTTCTTGTGACTGATGCTCCATGTAAATCCTGAAGGCCTAAGCTTGTTGCTCCAGCATTTGAGCCAATGGTTCAGTGATTCTGAGCTGTGCAAAGCCACATGGCACCATATGGTGGGCTTTAACCAGGAAAACAGGTCTTAATCCCTTTTGGGACAATCATTTGATGAATCAGAAGTGCTTGGATCCTTTCCTAAGACAACACATGTCGGTGCCACTTCTGTAATCTCTAGGAGTCAGAGGGGAAATGTTTAAAAGGAAAAAGCTTGAGTGATGAGATTTGTGTCTGGCTAAGCTGAAGCAACAATACCCCAAGATGACTTAAAATGAGCTAAACATAGAAAACAATGTTTTTTTCAACTTTGAAGGTAAACAGTGCAGTATATCAGTCTTTAAAGCAGAAAAAGAAAATTAACTAGTGCTTCTTAGATTAATGCCTTTGGTTTGCTTCCTAGGGAACTTTCCAGGGCACAGCCCAGGAAAAGAAATCCAAGCAGAATACAGCCATTTCCAGAGTTGAGAAGACCCAGATGGAAATCTGAGGAGATCCAGATAGTGAGTGCTCGTGAGTCAGTTTAGAGAAAAGGAATCTCCCATGGAGAGAATTGTAATGTAGGAGATGCTCACAGGGTCTGCATCCCAGTCTGTAGCTGAATGCTGAAGTTACCATCTAAAACTGTAAGAAAACCTCCCAAATAGGAAATCCTCCATGTTGCAGTAAAACCACAAACCAGAGTGGAGAAACTATTCAGTTCTCAGTACACCAGACTGAAATTAAGAGTAAGCTCAACATCAAATCTCCCTCAAAGGTTCTCATTGTGGAAGGGGCTTTGTGTACATGTATTAAACAGATCAAAATTTAATAATAAAAAAGTGGTATGTTATTAGAAGTCAGCCTATGGCAATTGTTTGAGCCTTTACTAACAAAACTTTCGTGCATGTTGGAAAAATCAAACCAACTTATAGTCATGCCTGACAATATTTTTTTCTAGCTTATTTTCTTTTAACCAATATATAATGTTTGTATAAATTTATGGGTTACCATGTGATTTTATGATATGCACACCCTATACAATGATCAGTCAAATCAGAGGATAAAAATCAATGTAAATTTCACAATAGAAAGAATCAATATCTCAGATAATAAATCAATAAACAAAGGCATTAAAACAATGTTAATACATGTGCATTTAAGAGGTGAAGATAGAATGATTGGCATGTCTGAGATATTTTAGAAGATATGGTGCAGAGTTTTAGACATGAGTATAATAGCTTTGAACACGGCACTGCTTCAGCTTATCCATGGGATTTATATGATAGAATTGAAGACTAATAAGCTTGAATGCATAGGAATACAAGGTATCTAAAGTGAAGAACAGGGAAGAAAAAAAAAGGCTGAAAAAAAAATGAAGCAAAGGAGAAAAATACATAGCTTTAGTCCCATCATCCACTTCATAGCGAAAGGTTCCGGAAACAGGAAGAAAACTGCTTCATTCAGGAAAATATCTAGTGAGGTGGGTTCATGCATGTATTTTTAGCACCCTTATGGAGAGATGTCTTTAGAGCTGCACATAGACTGAGAATAGCTTCGTTAAGTTAGAACCCTGTAAAGAACCATGGCTACCTCCAACCCAAACACAATACCTTGATATTTTGCAAGACCTGGGGCTCCTTGCAGTAACACATTGCCTGCAGAGAGGCAACGGTAGGGCAACCTTAGGTGGGTAAGGACAGTGAAGTGAGGCTAGGGCACGGAACAGTTTCTGAGACATCTAGAGCACTGTTTCCTAACTTTAGTCGATGTATGAGAGCCTTTGCTCATATTCTTCTCAATTCCACCTGTCCCTCGCTCACTGAATTCTTATGTTTATACAATGCATCACACATTTTATCACATGGAAGAAATATTGTGCATCCTGCCTTGGTCCTCAGATTTGAACTTGTCATGATTATTTCTTTTTCTTAGGTCAAGTGATAGCCAAGTGGCCCATTTGGCAAATGAGATATGAAGAAAGTTCTGGAAGTCATCTAGATACTTTTGTTTCTGGGTGATATGAGCTTTGGGAGAAATAAGTCCCTAACCCATCTACCTAGAACAGTACCTTAGAACTGTGACGGTAGCTCACAGACACCAAGCAATAAGCTCAAACCACAGGGTAGTAGCTCTGATCCTCCTCCTTGGCAGCTGGAAGATCAACCACCATCACAAAGAACACAGTAACTATCCAAGCCAGGAAGTTCATGACCAAACAGAGAAAACAAAGGTCATCATTGTCCTTCACCTTGAGAGAGCAACAGTACCCAAACCAGAAAACCGGGGAAAGCTGCCAAAATGTGCAAGAAAACACAAGATGCCATCATCATATTTGGATGCAGAATTCAATTTGATGATGGCTTTGTCATTATTTATAGTTCCTTGGATTGTGCAAAGAAAAGAACCCTGGCACAAACTTTTGTGAGAAGAAAAGGACCTCAAGAAAACCGAGCTGTCAAAACAAAACAAAAAACAAAAATAGAAAGTTCCAATGATGGTTGAAATATACAGATAGGAAGTGACATCAGCAAACTGTTCAACCAATTAGGAGCTGTCCATGTTTTTCCTCTATGAGTCAGTCAGATACCATCAGTGAATATTCCACAGTTGCTATTCAAAAGAGAAACAGAAAATAGGAGAAATTTTGATGATCCTTATTGACCAAAAATAGACTGTATGAACCAAGAATAGACTTGTATGAGCCAAAAATTGTCGGGAATTGGTTGGTGCTGGGTATTCTAATGCTAATTACTGGCTCCCGAGATCTGGTTGCTTACCAGATGGGCTCATTCTCGCATACACCTGTCCTTGTGTAGACCTTGCTCCACCTAATTTAAGGTGGTTGGTTAATAAAAAATGCTGAAGATTGAGATTAGGCAGAAGAAAAATGGGTGGAGTTTGCAGGCTGGGTCAAGGGACCATGAGGAGAGAGAGGGGGTTAAGGGACAGAAGATGAACTAGGAGGTCGAGGGCGGATGGAGCAGATGGAGCCCATCAAGAACAACCTATTGGCAAGTAACATGGGTTGTGTAGCTGAGAGACACTTAAATAGCTTAGACAGGTAAATATGCCCAACTCCAATGCTTTAAGCTCGTAAAATAAATCATGGTCTCTCTGTGTCAATTATTTTGGAAGCTAGTGGCTTTAAAGAAAACCGTTGCTTTATTAGATAAACTTACAAAAAGATAGACTGTATGAACCAAGAATAGCCTTGTATGAGATGAAAGAAACCAGAAACAAAAGAATTGTGTTGTAAGTTGCATCAGACAGCCCATTCATGGTTTAAAGTAGGTTTGGATGAGGAACAAGACAACCTGGGGTAGAGAACACAGAAAGTCCAGATGAAGACACGGGGTTAGGCATATAGTGCACCCAAAACCTTCCACAATATGCTGATCAAAGTGCAAAAAGAAGCAAGATGCCCACCAGGCTTGGTGTCTGATGGTGTTTATCCATGAAGGCTCACTTGTCAGCTGATGCCCTTCAAGGCAACACAGAGATCTGAGTAGGGAACAGAGTCTGCTCATTGATTTGAATATGAAACGTTTGCTTCCTCATTTTGTCAAAAATTCTTTTCAGCATCATCAATTCATTTTTTTAGCAGAGTTTTTATTGTTTGACAGGTTCATACATTTGCATAATGAATTATAGTAATTTCCACCCCTGTTTCTCGCTCACCCCCTACTACCCTTACTAAAGCTGTTTTATTCTTCTCAGTAACTCTTCTCCCATTTCTTCTTTCTGTGTGTGACCCACTGATTTAGTTAGAGCTCCTTGCCCAAGTACAGAAAGGAGGTTCTTTGCTCAGTCAGGGGCAACATATTAATAGCAATGGAAGAAAACCCTGCCCTCTAACACTCATTAACTGTCAACAGCACTTGATAGTCCACTCCCCTATCTATAATGAAGTACTGATAGGCCCAATCATGTTCAGGCTTGTGCAAAGACCATGGCTGCAATGTGTCCATGAATGCACCAACCACGTGGTTCCCAGAAGACACCCTTCGTCTTCCCATCTTCCCATGCATTGTCTCTTGCATCATTTCATGCATTAGCCTTCCATTCCCATGGTTTTCCTTGATAGCTGAACACTCCGCGGTCACTTAGTCTAGGCACTTGGTCCAGTTATGAAAGAACAGATTGCTTTGTGAATTTGTATGTCATCCCTGCACAGGAGCCATGCTAATCTCCTCTGCATATTTTCCATTTTGGCACATTCACTGCTGCTGTGAGCACCAATTCCCCTTTTATGGCAGTATTTGCATAGCTTTTATTTCACAGAGACCGTTAGAGAGATACATTGTAAACTGGAGAAGAGAAAAAGATGATATAAATAAAATTTTCTCAAATACTTTAAAGAGGTAAGTGATTAGTGGTTCTCTTTTTCTTTGATTTTAGAAATAGCCACTGGCCCCAGATACTAATATTTTCAGTCAATTTATTCTTCAGCATGTGTGCATAATGGGAGAGAGAGAAACAATGACTGCCTAGGGGCTGAATATCTGATTTTTCAATATAGAAGCTCACTGGAAGGTATGGGAGTATATCCATCCTTCTGTGGGAACAGAGAGAATGAGAAACTAAACAGCTCTTATCAAATGAAGTCACTAGCTCCTGAGGATTCTGCACAGTCCAAGAACACCTGGCTTGGTGTGATGGCTCCCACACTCGTCTTCCCACTGGGAAGCTCATTAACTTTTTCAGAGTAACAACTGGCTTTATTTATGTGCACCACATATGTGCCCGGTGCCTGTGGAGACCAGGAAAGAACATGGACAACCCAGAACTGGAGTTACAGGTTGTTGTGAGGCACCAAGTGGGTGATGGGAATCCAACCTGGGTTTCCTGATGAGCAGAGATAGCTCTTAACCACTGAGCCATCTCTCCAGCCCTGCCTACATTAGTATCATGACTCTTTGGATATCCAACATCTGAATGTACACTATTTGGGAGGAAAATTACCATCATTAAACTAATGACAGTCTCTCTTAACAGTATACAATTGTTATAACCAGAATCAAAGAAAGAAAATAGATCAAGCTTCTTTCTTTCTTTCTTTCTTTCTTTCTTTCTTTCTTTCTTTCTTTC